CAGTCCACCTAATAGTAAGTGGACGCTGAGGCCCACAGACATCTACATTTATCCTCGATTAAGAATCAAAACTCAGATACGTTGTCACCCCTGAGGACTAAGATCGAATGCCTCGTTTCCAGTAAAAGAAGGGTCTCCTGATATCTACACTCACCATGTCTGCTGACTTAGTGTAGTGTACTGACAGCTTATTATACGTGAAGTATCTATTGTGACTGAGATAATCAAAAGGTATACAGATATTGTAAGTATTTCGTCTCGTTGGTGTCGCGAAATTTGTCTAAGGGCAATGGAGCGAAAAGAAAGTGTCATCTAACAGGTGACATAATAAAGATGTGAAACAAAAAAAAAAACAAAAAGAACTGGCCAAATTGCTGGTGAGCATATGTTTCATCACGCTACCAGTCGGTCATCAGATTTGTTCATTCGTTGGAGTGAATAGCAGAATAGTCAGGAAGATGCTTAGAGCAAAAATAATTGCATTTTCATTCTTAAGATAGATGTTGGTATCTACGGTTCATATATTTTTACCATGGGGTAAAAATATGTGAACCGTAGATTAAACTTATTGTCTTACAGAGTAATTATAAAACCCTCAGACTCTGACATCACACCTAAGAACTAATGTGCATGCTGGTTGGTTGATAACTAAAATATTTTGACAATTATAAGAAAATAACAAGCAAAATTTCACAAAACAGGTAGTTAACAGAAAGTAAAACAGTTGCAGGAAAGTTTTGTCAAAATATTAAAATTTTGTGTTATTAAATTAGTATAAATCAGCGCCATCTAGAAGAAACATTTTAAAGTATTTTTATATAAACACACTTGTCATATAAATAATAAAAAAGTTATATGTGTATACATAGAGATATATATCGAGATATTTTTAACTCAGTGTGTGTATATTTTTCTTAAATTTGATTTTGACATAAAATGCAATAGGTGTTTTAAACTGCACACATATAATCGACCATTAGAGTTTAGACTAAATAATCAAGAAATTTGTAACAAATTTACAAATCCTATACTTTAAGCTTTAATTGAGCAATTCTTGTACATAAGTGTATATATGTAATTGGTAACTTGAAAACAGCTGTAACAAAAGGTGATATTATTTGGATTGGATTGAAGAGGGATATTGATAAATTATAGCTACCTTAGAAAGCATAATGATAAATAATTAAGGTAAATTAATAATTTCCCGTTCCGTGTTCTGTGCTTCTCGGGGACACATTTTTAATGTTTCTATTACATTAAATTTGATTTCTTTTGTATTTTAGTGAAAATAGCTTTTTTTAAAAAAAATTGTTTTTAATTTAATAAATAATACCCACATAAAACTCACCCTTGATTTGTTTAATTTTGAAGGCCTTTTTGTACACCGTGCAAAAATAAATTGAAAATAAAATTGTATCAAGAAACAGAATACCCAACAGAGCTACATTGATCTATGATAGTATTAAAGTATGAGAAAGTTACACTTAATTTAAATAAATTACTGAGTATTAATTTTCGCGCAAAACAGCCACAGATTAAAAATGTTTTTGACACTACCAAATTAATGCTTCAAGTCACAACTAATTTTAATTCGTTTTTATTTTACTTTCTTTGCCTTGTAACGTCTTCTTCAGACAACGCTTGCCAACTGCACTCGCATTGCATCTCGCTATCAAGGTTATTTCTATCGGAACTATTATTTTTATTGAACTTTTATTATCGAGTATAAGAAGTGGAATGCGAAGAATACCATTCCAATACAGAAATAGTTAGAACGTACATTGACCTTTATTGTGTTTGAATAAACGAGAATACGTACATAATTACCTACCTACACGTACCTACACTCAAAATAATTAAACTAAAACAAAATGTCTTGATCTATTATGTTAATTTTTCGAAATATATAAATTAGGATTTATATTTAAAAATATATGTGCAGTTCACACGCGGTAGAAGTAAAACGTTCAACGGAATGAAATATAAAATAAAAATATTTCACTGCAAATGATTTATTTAATATAATATTTTTCAACCACAAATGAGGCATAAATTAAAAGATAAAATTTTAATTATATAGCAAATAAATGTTACAATCCTCACGTTTGGACATACCGTTACCGTAACAGCTTAGTAAAGTCCACTGCTGAACATAGGCTTCCCACCATTGATTTATATATTACATTAATTTGTATAACTCAATGCCTCCCACATAGATTGCCTCATAGAGGGTATATTTGCCACAGTTGCCACGCTTGGCAAGCGGGTTGGCAACCGCAGTTTTTTTTAAGGGCAGCATATTTTTAGACATGTAGTGCCTAAATTGAGTGTAATAAATTAAAAGAATATTTTCTTTCGAAAATTGCTTTGCAATAGCGACATTTATATTTTAGGTAAAGTCTCAAAGTGTTACGTAAAATAGACGCTAGAACGCTAGATGGACTAAACACGACTAATTTAATATAATATTCTATCTCATTCTCTCACAAGTCCTAAACATATATTATATGTTTGTCTCTTTTTAGTGTCACATTTTCGTTACACCGAGTTTCAAACACGAGTCTAAAGAAAATTTTTACTTCAAAAAGTAGACTCTAATAAGGACTCTAATGAGGAGAAAAAGATTTTTTAAATACTAGTAAAACTATTAGCATTAATAATATTTCTTTTTATTAATGCTTTTACTAGAAGTTCATGATAGTAGTCAAATGGTCTACTCAAACCCACGACCTTTTGTGTTCTGTCGCTGTTCTGTTACTCTCGCTACATATGATATGTAAATATTTCAGAGGAATGAAACGAAAGACCGCCTGCATATACGGACGATACGCATGTTTTAACAAGTCGTCAGAGGAATCCAGAGGAAGCCCTAAGTTCTGCTTACCGGTACTCAGCCGGTACTCGAGACCTTCCCTTAGGTTTTAAGAGCTTTATTATAGCTTCCTTAATGCCACTCTAGTTTACTGAGTCGTAGGGGATATGTCGATGGCACAGGTTTTACTGCGGATATCTTTACGGTTCAATGGAATATAAGAAAACACAGAGTCTTTAGATTGATCTAAGGATATTCTAACATCATCAACTTTTTATAGTCCAGTACAAAATATAGACCTTTCTAAGGACCCACCACTAGTAAGCACTGCTTGGAAATTGTCCCGGACTCATAACACAGGGCAGGCACAGAGTGTATGTCCTTGCTCTGGTGGTGTAGTGTAGTAGGGAAAACCCTGTTACCAGTTTTTATTTGGTCAACTTTTTTTAAAATTAAACAAAACAAAAAGCTATCTGATTGCAAAGTGGGAATAAAAAACAGTAATGTTTAATTAATTTTTTAAATAATATAACGTAGGTATTTTTCGCTAATATCGGTTTTGTGTGATGGCTTTGGGAAAAGTTGATTTAAATATAGTCACTTAGCGTAGGTAATTTATTTATGTAATAGATTTTAAAGTACACCTACACCTATCTACGTAAAATAAAGTAGGTACCTACAACAAACTTACAATACCTTAATGCTAGAGTACGGTTGTCAATAAGCGCCGCGTGTAAATTTGAAGAAAAGCTGCCATATTTCAATGTTACTAGTGCCATATTCTAAGTTACTATAATAAATAGTTAAATAATATAATAATAAATAGGTTTTTTATATAATATAATATATTATATTATGTAAAAAACCTATCAATAACCTTATTTTGTTACTTTAAAAATACAATTTATTTTATTGTTCAAATTCATTTACAGTGACATCTATTAGAAGTATTTGATTCTAAATAAAGTCACCCTAGTAGAAGTGTTATATAGTACATAAATATAGTAACAGATGTCACTAAGAGTACAATGCATTTTTACAACACAATCAAAGGCTAAACATTACAAAGGCGTTTAAACTCAACAATAATATCTTATTTTTTCAGTTACAATGTAGCGTGAAAAAAATGGAGGGCATGAAATCTTCTATTTCCCCAAAGGCGCCAAGTTAGTAATTTTTTACTTAGTGCAGCGCATGTTCCGAAGATGACACTAGTGATATCTCGTACCACGACTTATTACAATATCTGTCTATAAGCCGAATATCAACGAATATTAATTATATTATATAATCATTATATTCTCATTATATAATCATTAATTAAGAATATTACGAATATTAACTCACAGTAACAGTACTCGTGAAAAGTACTCCATACATTTCGTATATTATCTAATTTAAAGCCCCTAAAGAAAATAGGGCTAGGGATGATGAATTACATACATACAGTCTTACCAATAAAAATATCGAAAACATCCGTTTAATAAGTGTGTACTTATACATTGTTTAAGCTTTGGGTAAGAGTTACACACTATGACTGGTTCAAGAAAATCAATGCCTTCATTCATTTTAATGGCAATATTGTGTTGCAAGCGCAACAATGTATAATTTTGCATTTTCCAGTGATACACTAAATCCAAGTAATAAACATCGGAACCTCTGTTTCCAAACTCCGAAACACCTTTCAATTGTATTTTTTGTCAATATATGTGATTTACTGTAAGATTCCTCCTTAGCGATACGAGGATTCTGGACTGGTGTAAACAAATAATTTGTTAAACCGCCAGTCCAACCGCCAACCGCCAGCCAGAATTCTTTCTCTGAATATTCTTGCATCATGTGTGTTGCCCCTCCAGTGTGCCACTATGTCCCTTATCCTTAATTGAGCATCACAAACTACTTGAACATTTGAGGATGAAAACACCTTTCTGTTTATATAATATTGAGCACTATCGCCTCCGACTTTTTTAATTTTTATGTGTGTGCAATTAATAGCACCAATTACTTTCTTAAAGCCACAAATGTTCCTAAATCCAGAAACCACTTGTTCTTGCTCTTCTAAAGTACTAGGCATGCGTATAAATTCTGCCGCTTTACTTGCCAAAGCAAGAGCTACTCTTCGGCATATATTCGTGATGGACTGTGGCTAAGTCCATGAATGTCTGCTGCATCATCTTGAACTTCTTGCCTAGCCCACGTTCTGAGAGCAGTACATAGGTACCTGAAGTTCTACAGACAGCCCGCCACCACTAGCTTGTAGTTCGATGTCACGTTGAACTAAATCAACTATTTTTCTCATATATACTTTACTGAATCTATAGTTCATTCGAAATTCTTTATCTTGTAGAGTAAAGGGATCGAAACGTTTTTCGTAAAGTTTTCTTTTTCTTGGTGGTTCCTCACGGTCGATTTCATCAAAAATATCGAAATATTGTAAATAATCCATTATTTTCAAAAACGCCACAAGTCAAATAGAGATTATACACGTCTTAAACAAAGGTTGATAACTGTATAACGGTTGCGTAATTTCCCATACAATTTAAACACTCATTATAACAGATGTACAGACAAGCACACAACTGAACTGTCAAATGTCGTTTATTGGTAATGTTAAAGTTATAACTCTGGTATACGTCGTGTGTAAATCTTTATTGGTAAGTCCGATAATACCTATATACCTACATATATATTTTTTTTGCAATCTAGTAAGGTATAAAATTTTATGGGTTTTACTCACATTTTTAATAAATGAATTATACTGGCTGACATTTCACTGTGAGGGAAAAAATAGTGTGTAAAATAACATGATGATCGAAGTAGAAGTCATCTTTTAATTTTGAAAAAATTAAAAAAGGCGATTAAAAGTAACGAAATTCTAATCATGTGCTACATTACTCACAATAATAAGTACGTATTATTGAATTTGTAACCTTTGACCTTGAATCGGCCGCAAGGTAAAAGTAAAGGTTTAAGGTTGGCCCCATATAAATTAAAGAAACATCCATTCCTAAGGATGCGAAATTAGAAAATGATGTTCTTAATGTAGGCTTATTTAAACGGCTTTCTAGTATGTTACATTCCTTAGACACTCAAAAGGGTAAAACATTTCGTTTTACCCTTATGATTTACCAAGAGTTATTAGTTAACAGTTAGACTTATGATAAAAAATAAATAAAATAACCTAGAGCGAGCGAGCGATAGAAATCCTGAGCTGTGGATATGGAGCTACCATTTATTATAAGTTTTTGATGTAAACAATTTACCGTTAGTACTTAGTGTTAAAAAAAAGATTAATAAAAAGAAATTTTTCAGAGCATTTTGTTGTAGAACAGAAATGCCATCAGGGATACTCAAATAACATTATTTGGCTCAATTATCATTGATTTCGTTTTTCTTGTTCTGAAATGACAAACGAAGATAACAAAGAAGGCTACACATTCATTGTCACCCCTCAGGACTAAAGGTGAACGCCTTACAAACTGTAATTATACTGGCAATCCTCAGACTGGAACACTAAAGCACAGCGGTGACACTCCCTGTACGTGAGAGCTTAAGCGCCGGTAACCTTGAGTCGAAGCGTGTAACGCTAGGGTTGATATCAAACCGAAATGGAATATTATAGACTTGTACCAAAGAAGATACATATTAGGTATGTGTTATATATTACGTAAACTTATGTATATGGGTAGCGAAAGATACGTTCAATTTTAAATCAACTTTTATTAAATGAGGAATATTAAATCTTCCGACAAAACCAAATATGCACGACAGTTCATGGTAATCTTAAATAATTAACCAACACTTAGTATTTCAGTACGCAATAATCAGTATTACCTGCTATCCTTTAAAAATAATCTACTCTTATATATTTTTAAATTTTTCCGATTAATTTTTTAATTTTCATTATTATTTCTAACAATTGCGAAAATTCGTAGCATGTATATTTTTTTTAGAAAATCCAAAGGAATGCAGGTTTCCTGGGACATTGCGGCCAATAAATTGTTCCCTATGTGTTGATGAGATAAGTCATTTCTATTTCTAATGAAATAATCCATAAATACAACAATGAACAAATACAAAAACTCTTTATAGATGTCTAAAATTTCTTGACTCTCTAGTGGTATTTTTAATAGTGTATATTTCAGTTAATATAATATAATAAAATTATCGGCGATATATTAGTTTTATTGTCATGGTATTTCACCATAATTCTTGTTAAAATCATATCGACTTTCATTAAAATGAGTTCACATATTTTTAGGTATCATAAAACATTATTAAAAATTAAACTGACAAAACAAGGGCCCTTGTTTTGTGTAGTGGAATTTATTTTAATTCTAATCACTTATACTACACAACTTACACTATAAAAACTAATAACGTTACTTGGTAACATAAACTTAATACCTACATGAATAGAATAGTAATATGTACATAAAGATATTAGTAATATTCATATATTAATTGAAATAAAGATTAAAAGAAGAGTGTGGTTTGCAAGATGATGCGGTGACCAGGATTAAGAAAGGAATGCTTCGGTGGTTTGGTCATGTAGAAAGAATGAATGCGGAAAGACTGACAAAGCAAATATATGTTGCAGAAGTGAATGGAAGAGTCGGAAAGGGACGTCCTAGGCGGAAGTTTGTCGACCAAATTGGCGATATACTAAAAATGGGCCAAATTAAGAGTACCCTTAACCGACGAGCATGTATGCGTAGGTATATGGATGTGGAAGAGGCGAGAAAGGTATGTCAGGATCGTGCTAAATGGAAGTCTGTAGTCTCTGCCTACCCCTCTAGGTGACAGGCGTGAGTGTTATGTTATGTTATGTTTATTAATTGAAATATTATATCACTTGACGAATATATTCATATTAACTAATACTGACAAATATCCTACTAGCCCTCGTCCAGGGCAGTCGGCGACTGCCCGTTCCACGCCCCGCGCGCCTCTCAAGGCTCCCGCACACATCAAGACACCCACACATAGCCGCAAGCGATTTTACGTGCACACATGCTTAAGTGTCGTTTCTTTTCGCGTAGTGTATATATTCTTTGACTAAAGTGCAGCCACTGCTATACGGACAGCGAGGTACAAAAGTCCTACCACCCAGTAAATTATTTTACTGCTATCCCGATATAAAGACAACAGTAAGCAGTAACTTGTATTTTTATAAAATTCAGTTTAAGTTTTTAGCAACTAATAATAATTAGGAATAATTTTAGGAACTGTTTAGCTATAGATTCCCGTGCGAATTTCTTTGATTACTTTTTTTATAGAATAATGATGGCAAACGTGCACGCAGTCTACCTGATGGTAAGGGGCCGTCCATTAATCACGTGATGTGTTTTTAGCATTTTTAACACCCCCCACTCCCTCTTGGTGATACGTTGTTGTGTGATTCTGAAATTAAGGACCACGATTAAAACTACTTTTATGGATTTTTCGGTTTTTTTTTCTTTTTTTTTAATTGTTTCCCCCGGGACTCATCCAGGGCTGGAAAGCGACGTGGGAATTATAAAAGTACCAATAAAAAGTAAATAACGGATATATCTAGTTTTATCTGTTTTTCTAAGAAATTAAGAACCACGATAAGAAATGTCTAGACAGAACGGTTGAAGGTTGCTTTTGACTGGCATAAAAATAATATTAAGGAAATGGTGTAATCATGCGCAAAACATATATTGTACTAGTACATGAACATATTTAATATTGTACTAGTGCATGAACATAATATTTAATGTACATTGTCCTCGGACCACGGATTAGCAAGACTTTCTTCATCACAAACGACTGGATAAGCATCTTGCAAGTTAGTTGATGGTACTGTGCTTTGTTGAAGATCAGCGTCGGTTTCATCAAGCCTCTCGGCGTCATCATTTTCGCGCACTACACTGAGAATCTCTCTCGATCTACCGATCGATCGTCGCGTAAAAATGCGTGTAGGACGAACATTATGCATCTCTAGACTATTGTTGCTATGATTAGGTTCATGCTTGTGACATGAATTTACATGTACAGGCGAGTCAAGGTCACACACATTACACGCCGCTTTTCGGTTACAGAAATCACGCGGTTGACGAAAAAATAAATACACGTGATAATCTTACTACAACCCCCCCCCCTTGTGATATTACGTGATTTTTGTCAACCCCCTCCCCACCCCTTCAAGCCTCACGTGATTAATGGACGGCCCCTAAGTGGACGCTGTGGCCTACAGACATCTACATTTATCCTCGATTAAGAACGCAGATGCGTTGTCATCCCTATGTGATGTCTAAAATGGAATGCTTTCAGTAAAAAAGCATAAAAAAGGGTCTCCAGATAGATTTCTGGAGATCCTTTTTTTACTCACTGCACTACACTGAGCACATCTGCTGCCTTTTCATTGACGGCTTGTTATACGTGAAGTATATGTTGTGGCTAAGATAATCAATATAATCTCGTTGTTGTCTAAGGGCAATGGCACGAAAAAAAACTTAAGTAACATCTAACGAGTGACGAGAGATGTGAAATCAAAAAAAGAATTGGCGAAATTGCTGGTGAGCATATTATACTTCGTCACGCCACCAGCCGGTCATCAGATTTGTTCATTCATTAGAGTGAATAGCAGAATGGTCAGGAAGTTGCTTAGAACGAAACAGTCTGAATTTTCATTCTTAAGATAAATGTTGGTGTCTATGGTTCATAGATTTTTACCATGGAGTGGGCTGTGTGCAAGTTTATCGCAACAACATCTAAAAAAAACTTATTGTCTCACAGAGTAAGCATACAACCTTCAGACCCTGACATCACACCTAAGAACTAATATGCATGCTGGTTGGTTGATAACTAAAATATTTTGACAAGTATAAGAAAATAACACACAAACTTTCACAAAACAGGTAGTTAACAGAAAGTATAACTGTTGCAGTAAAGTTCTGGTAAAAACTTAAAATTTTATGGCATTAACTGAGTATAAAGTAGGTACTATCTAAAAGAAAATTTTGAAAGTATTTTTACATAAACAATAACACTTGTATTATCGTACTAATCATAAAAAAATAGTTCTGTGTTTTGATCCCATTTGATTTTGACATAAAATGGGATACTTCGATATTTTGAACTGCACATGTAATCGACCATGGGAGTTTGGACTCACAAAACATAAATAGTCAAGAACTTTGTCACAAACTTAGGTATAAATAGCTTTTGTTGAGCAATTCGTGTACCTAAGTGTATGTAATTGGTTACTAGAAAACAGTTGTAACAATGGGTGACATTATGTAAGTATTTGGATCAAAGAGAATTATATATAAATTATAGATAACTTAGAAAGCCTAATGATGATTAAGATAAATAAATTATTTCCCGTGCCGTGTTCTGTGATTCTTGGTGGCACGTTTTTAATGTTTCTATTGGATTACTATTGTGTTGTAGTGAAAACAGCAATTTTAACAATCATTT